TTTTAACACAAATCCGACAACTTAAATGGCCATTTCATAGTTAATTTCAAAGCAGATTTACCCTTTAAAGCACTTCAAATTGTGTTTCATCGATGCTGCTATTCATCATTTAGAGATCATGCGGACTCTTCTTTCTAAAATGTAGATCAAATGGTTGAAGTTAAAATCTAATGGCTTTTAGTAATATTAGAACCCTTTCTAAGTGTTATTCCACTCATTCTCTAAGTTTCACCTTATTCTTCTTTCCCCAACCTTGTCCTTGTATCCTCTCCTTCCCTTATGCCCCTCCCCTTCCCTTGTCCTGTCCTTGACCTAGGTTAGCTAGTCAGTTGGGAGACACAAAACTCACCAATCTGAGCACCACAGTGAAGTGCTGCCTCTGTTTGGCTTCCCTGTCTTGGGTTTTTATATTTTCACTGCTTTTTCCTTAGAGGGAATTTTCAAAAGGAAATCCCTACAGGCACATTTGAAAAGCCTACAGTCTTTAGGATGCTAATTTCTAATCTAGACTTGAATCAGAGAGAGAAAGCCATTTGGGAGATGCCAGTCAATAACTGACCTGTGAGGCTCCATCCCCAAGGTATGTAAGAGAGTAAATGCATTCTGAAATAAGAGATGAAGGTCGGATTAGTCTCTCTCACCAACACTGCAATCATTCATATGAGCAATTTGTGCTTCCTACCACTACGACCTTTGTTCTGTTGGTTGGAGTTCTTGATTCCCAGAGAGTGATTGCATTCACTAAGACACACCGGTTCGGGAGAAATTTGAAACTGGTATTGCAGCCTACTAAGCCCTAGTGGCACTGTCAGGTACGTGTTGGACACCTCGGTGGTTCAAACTCACCAGCAACTTTGGATAGCTCCTGTGAATATTTAGTCAGAAACCCCATTTAGCTTCACTATGAATTAGAATTGATTTGATGAAATGGGCTTGGCTTTTTAGTTTTAATAAGGGACTACCGGTGGTGTAATTGAATATTTGTGGATCTACTAACTGCAAGCACAGGACATTGAACCCACCAACTCCTTTGGGGGGAAATATGAGGCTTTCGATACTATGAAGTTTTACTATGTCAGAAATTCACAGGAACATTTCTACTCTGTCCTGTAGGGTCACTATGAGTCATAAATGACTAAATTAAAGTGAATTTGGTTTATCATTTTATCTATCTATCTATTTATTTATTTATTTATTTATTTATTCTGGAGTTCGATTGGGAGACTTTCACCCATTGTAATGGAGTTGATTCTGACTTGTGGTGACCCATGTGTAACAGAGAATTGTATCTTACCATTTTCTTGGCAGTGGTCTTTATGGAATGTTAGGCCTTTCCTCCATAGTGCCAGTGGACAGGTGGGAACACTAGATCTAGGATATTAGTTGAGTGTAAAGCATTGAGACCACCCAGCGATTAAAATAAATGTTGGAGTTATTCTAAAGCTATGGCAAATGATCCCAATTATAATATGCCAGAATTTCTGTGATACAAGAGCGGCACAGTGTGGTATGACTGAAATGCAGCATCATTTAGGGTCTTTGGATCCTTCCACGCCAATGATTATAGACAATGGCTAATTGCAAACTCCTCAGCCTGAACAATGGCACCATCATGTAAACAACCCAGTCTGTTAGAGTAGCTGACCATAGGTCATGAAAAAAAAAAATGAAGGGTGTAATTTTAGTGGAGCAAGGTAAATTACAATAATTACTGCCATAGTAGCCTAATCATTCCTATCCAATCCTGGAAACACTTATTTGCCAATGGCAAGAATTTTGAAAGACAGTTACTTAGATATCCATGTTTAATTAATAAACGTAATTAAAAGAAGTACAAATTTATCAAAAAATATCCTTTGTGTCATATGCAAAGAAAATTTTGCTTTAGATATTTTCAAATGGTTGCATAAATACAGCAACAGGAAATTGTATACTAAAATCTACAACATTAAGGGTAACAAGCAGAAAGCAATTGGATTCCTATATAACAGTGATGGGAATACAGAAAAAGATTTCAAGGAATCAGTACCATTCATAATAGCCATGAGAAAGCTGAAGCACCTAGGGATAAAGCTAACAAACAATCAAAAGACCCATATGAAGAAAAGTACCAAACATTACTACAAGAAACCAGAGGGGTCTACACAAATGGAAGATGATCCTGTGTTTGTGGATTGGAAAACAATGTTGTAACTATGTCAATACTACCTAAAGCAATCTACAAAGTTAATGCAATCAAAATCCAAATTCCAGCATCATTCTTCAAAAAATGGAAAAATGGATTACTGACTTCATATGGAAAGGGAAGAAGCCCAGAATAGGCCAAGAACTCCTCAAGAAGAGGAAAAAAGTAGGTGGTCTTGCACTACCTGACCTCAAAACCTACTATACAGCCACAGTTGTCAAAACAGCATGGTACTGGTATAGTGATAGATACTCCGTCCAATGGATCAGGACAGAAAACCCAGATACAAAAGCATCTGCAAATCGACAACTGATTTTTCACAAAGGTCCAAGAAGCATGAAATGGGAAGCAGATGCCCTCTTCAATAAATGGTGTTGGAAAATCTGGATATCCATATGCAGAAGACTGAAACAAGACCCATATCTCACTCCATGTACAAAAAGCAAACTCAAGGTGGGTCAAAGACTGACCTATAAAACCCAAAGGTATCAGGATCATCGATGAGAAAAGTGGAAGAAAAGTAAGAGTCCTAGTGCAGGGAATGCATGGGCTCTCAGAGATAATGAGGGACACACTCAGTGAAGACTAAATAGATGAGTGGGACCTATTAAAAATAAAACACTTGCGCACATTCGAAGACGTCGTTCAAAGAGTAAGAAGAGAACACAGAGACTGGGACAAGATGTTTAGGAACTACATAACAGAAAAAGGATTAATTATTTAATCTACAGAATTTTACCAGTTTAGCTCAAGAAAAAAAAAACTAATAACCCTCTGAGAAGGTGGGTAAAGGACCTGAATAGATGATTCACAAAGAACGACCCTCGAATGGCTAATAAACACATGAGGACATGCTCCCAGTCACCAGCCATCCAGGAAATGCAAGTCAAAACAACCATCACATACCACCTAACACCCATAACTGTAGCGGATTTTTTTTTAAGAACTCAGAACAAAGGAGATAGGAATTCCTATCCACAATGGAAGGTATATGACAATACCTAAAACAGATGCCAATTGAAATGCCATATAATCCAGTAATACCATTGCTGGGCATATACTCAAGACACATAAGAATGAGATCACAAACAGAAGTTTCCTCCCCTATGTTCATCACAGCACAGGTCACAATAGCAAGAAGCTGGAAACAGCCTAAATTCCCATCAATAGAAGAGTGTATAAAAAATTCTGTACATACATCCAACAGAAACACTACGCATGCCTAAAAAGCAGTGATGAAACCATGAAACT